TTCCTCCTCCGATCGAAGGAACACGTTCGCGGCCGAACCGACGAACAACACGGAACAACGTGAAAACAAAGGTATCGGAATTGCGGAAGATGAACGCGTTAACGAACCGCGTTTAATCGGTTCCTCCCCCGTGCTATTCGAAAATCTCGAATATCCGTTGCACGCGTCTGGAATAACTGGATCGAGTAAAAACCAAGTATCTCATAGTCGAATCGAGGAGGAAGAGGGGCAGAGAGGGACAAAGAGTGAATAATCCAGAGGAGAGGCATTTCTATCGTGGATTCAAAGACAGTACGTTTAAGCAGATAACGAGACTGGACTTGGGACAGATTAAAGCTGGTTGCAAACGGTGGTCAACTCCGCTTTGCCATTTCTCCCGATCCCCCGGCGCGTTTCACCACTTTGCGGCCAACTTTTCACCCATATTTCTCCGCCGTGCAACAAAGTTAATGCTCGTTAACAGCAGCATTCGCGCACAAAGGCTACGTTGACTTTCTACGCGTGGTCCAATGGTCCACTCGTTTAAACCGTCTGCGCCGTTCCCTAGATCCTACGTGAATTTCCACAGGAAACGAAACCGACCACCACCCCCTCTCTCTCTCTCGGAATTTCTACCAAAAATTTTAGCCCTTCGACGCGGAGGAGGAGCTTTCTCTCGACAACGATAAGGATAATCGGTGGAGAGATTGGTTCAGAGAAAAATTCCGTTCGTTAAGACGAGCCGGAGTAAAAATAAGGCTCGGGCTGAATCGAACGGGCAAACCGTAAAATACACGCGCGCGTGATCCATCGCCGGTGGATGTTTTCTGAGAACACACGGGTCGCGGAAAGGCCGCTTTTTCTCCTCTCTGTCGGCGAAACGCGAACGGGTGGTATCGGTGGAGGACCGCGAACAAAATGTTTGCCGAGTCAACGGTACGTGTTTTCCCGCCGCAACCACTCTCTTTCTCTGCCGATGAAAGACATTAAAGCACGCTCCAACTTGGTTAATGTTTAAACGACTCTTCGTGGCTCCTCCGCCGTCTCCCATCTCGGACCGCCGCGCCCGATTTTCGCGACGAAAGACCGACGAAGAAAAGTCAATCAATCGCGAGAAAGTTCGTGCAAAGAAGATCCTTTGAACCTGGGGAGATCGGGAATGGAAAGAAGAGAGAGAGGGAGAGAGGGGGGGAGATGTTTATCGACGAAGAAGAAACCGGTGTCAGGCGCGACTCAAAATGCAATTTGCATCGGCGCCGCCTGGCCGCGGAAGTCACAAATGCGCTCTGATTAGAGCCAAGTTTCCCGCGGCCGTTACTCGTTCGAGGATAAGACGGGGCAAACGAACCAAGAGAACCAGAAAGACGGTCAGAAAGAACGGGAGCAAAAAATATACGGCCAGGAGGATGGAAGAGGGGAAAAGATTTGCCTTGGCTAATTGCATGAGATATGCGATTGTTTCATGCATATTCAGCGAGTCCTCGAGGTGGGTATATACCTCTGATCGCTATTCCTTCCGCCCTACGTCCCTTGCTTCGTCTCGAGCTTCTTCTTTTCCTCCGAAACTTCCTGTTTCTCCCTTCTCTCTCTCTCTCTCTCTCTCTCTACGATTCTAAGCCGCGAAGTACGCCCTCGATATTAATTAAGTCCTCGATCCTACGTTTGCCACACCGTGGTGCACATGCGACAAACCTCCTTCCACCGATCTGAAACGCCTATTCCAACGAACAACTGTCGTCGATGGATATTTCAACGCGATCGGCGTCTTCCTCCGAAACTTTACATAACAATCCACGATTTGCCGTTCTATCACGAAGAAACGGTCAGTTTTCTTCGGGAAACGGAAAAGATTTTCGACTCGGGCACCAACAGACCTTCGAACGAGACTTATCGAGTTTCCCGATAGACGTTGCTCCTTTTTTTTTATCCGCGGAATCCTACCAAGTTTCGTTAACGCGAGAACATTCTCGGTGAAGCTTCTCGATTATCGAATCTGCGGATTTTCAATCGGCGGCCCGCGTGTGCTCCTTCGAAATATCAGCAACATGATTGATAACGAGGAAACTGGGTTGCGCGTTTATTTTCTCCCTCTTCCTCGCTTTGTTTCCCCGTTCGTTCGGCTCTTTGTTCGCGCTTCTAGACCGATTGCCCCGTGACTCTGCTCTGCTGCATTCGTACACCACCCCTCGATTTTCCTTCACCTTTAGCCGCGTGTCTCTGCTCACCACCGGCCAATATTTCTCCGAGAAAGTACGCGCTCTTCGCGCGAATCCAGATCGAAACGAAAGAACACGGTGGTCGTCTGGTCCCTCCTCGCTTTCTTCACCGTTCGACGTATCTCGCTGTATTCTAGATATTGCATTTCTCAAAGGCACGTGCAAGTCTACCGGCGAACGAGATGCACAACGTCTTGCATCCGTGGAACCACTTTGGCCTGATTGAGGGAACGCGATCCTTTCTCTGCGATTCTCTCCGTGAATCGAGCAACCTTACAAGCTGTTTCGCGCGTGACGTTTCAGCAGACTCAACAAGTCAAGATCCGAAGCGATACTCGCGCTGCTTCTCGTTACAAAAACGAAGAAACGTCTCTTCCTCTTACGCGACAACGCGGTGCTAATTCCCCTCGACGACGAACAGAGAAAAAGTAAGATTTTTCAAACTTACCGCCAAGCAGTACGTGCACGAGGAGCGGGAGAAATCGGTATCGTCGCACTCTGCTCGTCATTCTTTCGATTCTTCTACATGAACTGTTCCGCCTCCTATGATAATGTTATATGGTAAACACAAGAACCCGCGAGTTGTGAAAGTTCGTGTGTGTTGGTAACAACACCGAACGATATTCGCGTACGACGCGCTGCTCTTCGCGGGGCGAACGAAACGAGGAAAGAAACGGTGTGGTGAATGGTTTGAAATTTGTCCGAGAATGGAACACAAGAGAGACAGAGGACACGTTCGACGGACAAAGACGAGGAGAAGTTGCGCGGACGAAGTCTCGGCTTCGACTGGCGCGCACCAACGTATCTGACCCCTCTGATAACCGGCCAGCCCCCTCTGGTTCAACACTCGCACCCCCCCATCCCCCCCACTCTCTTTCTCACGCTCGCGATCGCGGGCTTTTTCGGTGCGTATCGTGATCCAGGAGGCAGGGAATCCTCCTTCGCCGCGAATAACTCGCGTCAGCCGAGAGGAACCACGTGTAATCTTTTGCGAATTGTACTCCGACGACTAAATTTCAGACGTAGCGACGATAACTGAGAGAGGAACACGTTTCGTCTCTCTCTGCTTGTCCTTTAAATCAACGAATTCTAGGTTGAAATGAAAGAAAGAAAATATATGTATTTGCAGCTGCAGATTTTTCTTTTTGTAATTTGTTTCAACGGGGGAAAAAATGATAGATTCGTCGGGACAATTTACTTTCCGTTTGAAATTTCTTTTCGTAATCGGCTATATTGTTCGAAGATCGTATCTTGTAAGGAGAAAAAATTGGAAAATCTTATACGGTGTATACGGTGAGGTGCTGAGAAATTGGATCGTTTGATTTGTTACTTACGTAAGTTACGTAATGCTTAGAAGCCTGTGACAGAGAAAGAGTTGTTGGAAGGAAAAGAATAGAAGGAGAACGATTTTAAGATGATCGGTTGCCTGCGATAACCGAGAAAGTCCCGCAAGTAGCGCAATTTCAATGGATCAGAAATCCATTTCAATATTTATGCATGCATGTACGTACAGTATGTATATATATAGATAGAGGAGCACGTGGTAAGCAAAGAAGAGAGGTAGGGATAGAATTTCCGTTACGAGGATTGCGCTTTGTGGGTCGGAAGTGAGGTCTATAGTTGAAAATCAGCCGAAGATATTAACGTAACGAGGTTTTCTGTGTAAACCGGACGTTAGCGCCTCTCGTGAGTTGCGCAACAGTCGCGAGGTCAGCAGCATTGTAACTTTTGGCGCCAACCGACTGCAAGGCGCTATATCTTTCAGTTCCATAACAATTAGCTTGAAAAATTAGTACGTATATGAATGGCGATATTAAAATTCTTCCTTTCTCCACGCGTGACAGTCATAAAAACAATTTTTCGCGTATATTTGTAAACATAACCTTGATATACTTTTAGTGCCGCCAAGGAAAGCAACAAAACGACCAGCTCAAACTTCTGCGAAAGGTCCCCGGGAGCCAAAACAGATTAGGAAAAAGCAAGGTAAGTCGTTGCTTCGTCCACGTTTCATCATTTTTTATAACTATATATTTGCCGCGGAAAATAATCGTGCTACTGCAGAATTTGATCGAAAGTGTAGAACCGCGAGGAGGCACATGGATATCTCGGCGATGTGTTACACGATCGATATTTATTGCTTCCCTTTAGTTCCTGGCTAAGAGCATATTTTGCCGAACCTTTAAAAAAAATTTCTATCCAATCGTCGTAATCGTGTTTCCATTGTGATGTTCTATTATGTGTTTTACCGCAAACGTTCATCGACGCGAACGTAATCGTACTTCTTTAAACCTTAAGTACCGTCAAATACCTAGAATGCATTTCACAGAATTATTTGTAAAACCCGATTTACGGCAATCTACAACTGGAGGCGTATTATTGGTATTTGGACAAGGTGATGTGGGACAGCTTGGTTTAGGAGAAGAAGTTGTTGAAAAAATTCGTCCAGCAGTTATCCCTGGATATCAAGATATCGTAGCTGTAGCTGCTGGTGGTATGCATAATGTGTGCCTAAGGCAAACCGGAGAAGTATTAACTTTTGGGTGCAACGACGAAGGAGCATTGGGACGAGATACGTCTAAAGATGGTTCTGAAACTGAACCAGGTCTTGTTGACCTGCCTGGCAAAGCCAGTCAGGTGACAGCTGGTGATTCCCATAGCGCCGCTTTATTAGAGGACGGACGAGTTTTTGCATGGGGCTCTTTTAGGGTACGATCTTTTTCCCTCCCCTTTAACTTTACTTTAAAAACATTGCTGTTTAAACGGCAATTACCTCGAGTCCAAACTGTAAATGATCGACAAAATTCTATTCTGTTCTTTCAAGGATTCCCATGGTACTATGGGATTAACGTTAAAAGGAAATGAACAATTTCCAATAGAAATACTGCCTAATGTAAAAGTAGTTAAAATAGCATCTGGTGCTGATCACTTAGTGTTACTTAATGAAAATGGACATGTGTACACATGCGGATGTGGGGAACAAGGTCAACTAGGACGAGTAGCTGCTAGAGCAGCCAGTAGGAATACTCGTCATGGTATGGGTCCTTTATTAACCCCAGGTTTAGTTGAATTTAAAGTTACTAAGAAACTAGAATTTGACGATATATGGGCTGGTACATATTGTACCTTTGCTAAAGAATATCAAAAAGGTGATATATATGTATTTGGATTAAATAATTATTATCAAATTGGTGAGTATAAAACGGGTGAGACGTTGATAAATGAATAAGTGTAAGAAAAAATGCTGCTGCTGCTGCTGCTACACCCACCGTCGTTTCAGGCTTGAAAGATCCTGTAACTCATTTTCACCCGCAAATTTCAAAAACCTTCAGCGGAAAAGTTTGGAGGCACATCGGTAGTGGACAGCATCATACTATTGCTCTAGATGATTCTGGCCAAGTATTTGTTATGGGCCGTAAAGAATACGGTCGCCTTGGACTTGGATCTAATTGCTCAGATGCAAAAGAATTAACATCAGTTCCTAGTTTAAGTTCCTTTAAATGTATCGATGTTGCAGCGGGTAGTGCCCAATCTTTTGCTGTTACCGAATCAGGTAGCTTTCTCAACTTATTTTTCTATTATTATTACTACTAGATCCTAATGATTTTAAGTATACCACCTCTTATTATTATGTTTTTATACAGGAGATTTATATTCATGGGGTATGGGTTCGAGTGGTCAACTAGGTACAGGAGAAGAAGAAGATGTCGAAGAACCGACGTTAGTAAAAGGAAAACAACTGGAGGGAAAGACAGTGATACGGGTCGCAGGTGGAGGCCAACATACGTTAGCGTTAGCAACGATCCATTCAGTAAAAGAAAAAACTGCTGGCTAATAACGAATGATTTATTCAATTTGAAAAACTGTCTTCTCGCGCGTATGTGATAGCAATTTGGACAACGAAAGGAATAGTCTAATACAATTTCGATTCTCCTTAGACAAAAAGATTACATCAAAGGAGAATGTGGTGTAATTAAATATCTTTCTGACGGTATACTGTAATTTTGACATTAACGCGATGATACTTAAATCTGTACATAATTTTTCGTGCTACCAAAAAATTACATCATTGTGCTTATAATGATTAATATATTTACTGACTTTTTCATTGCACTGTTATTTTTTCTACTTATGATTATGTATTACAATGAAATAAACATTTTTCTACCTGTGAATTATATCTTGCTAAAAATTTCATTTATCGACATACAACAACAACAACAATGGCAATAGACCTGAAGATCTACGTTTTCGCTGCTCTAAAAGTTACGCTTCCGTTATATTTTTTCTTCAAAATGCAACATTCGGTACGGAATAAGGTTGTTATTCAAATTTATTTCAACTTTTCATGCAATGCTACACAAGTAACTTAATCATTCTTGGATAATATAATTAGTCTGATGATCATTACTTAGTACCAATTGGTATGAGACTGTAAACCTTCTAGAGCAAGGAACTATTAAATACAGAAAAATCAAACTAATCGATTTCCCTTGATAAGAGAATCTTTTATTTTATTCAATTTAGTTTCGGTTGGTCTACAATTCTGCCATCTTGCATGGAAATTTGTTGCAGCTTTTTCCCAATACGTTCTTGCACGTCCAAATATTTAGCAATACACCGATCTAGACATACTGATTCTCCCTTGGTTAACTCTGAGGTACTATATCTTGGTGGAATACACTTTTTATGACATGCAGTTGTCATACGGTGAAACATATCAGTCATCATTTCTATTTCTATATCCTGTACCAACTTCAATTGTTCTTCGCTAAATTGAGGTAATGCGGCCATTTTTTTTCTTTCTTTTTAATCTTGTTATTTTACAATTTTTTATAAATCCTCAAGTAAATGGTTTACGGAGCAATATCACGGTAGCGTTGATGATGTTTTTCTATCATATTTTTGTATCTCCTTGCATTTATGTCGTTTCTCGCAGCTGCAAAAGAATAGATTCCTATACCGGTAGCTATAATCCTGTAAAAAGAATTACTATTCAAACGTTGCACATCCATTCCACTTGTACGCGTATTCCTTATGTAAAAGGTTAATCACAAATGAAAGAGAACTGTTATGAGAAATTAGCGACTGTGATATCTTACATTGACATACCTACCATCCTATCGCTATCTTCGGAAAACTTCCAAAAGACATTCTTTCTAACTGTTACAAAGTATTCCTACGTTAAAAATGAATTGTTCATATACCTGTATGTTTGGTTATAAAACTATATGACCATTTAACCATGAGACCACGGGACCATGTGACTAGACGATAGTATAACCTTTACTAATGGTAACTTCTTAAATCACTGCACGAGAGTAGAAGGAGATAGGATATAGAGAAAAAGAGTAAAGAGAAAAACGTAGAAAAGAACGAAATGAAGAAAATGATCGAGCGAGGATAAAAGAAGAGCTGGTAGTAATTTAGTAAAAATTGAAATTATTATGTAAAAAGAATCTCTTGAAATGATTGGTTGAAATGTTCGATGATCGATGAAATATTTGGTTTACACGTTTGTTCAATCTTAAAGGGCTAGTGAATTTTACATTCTATAAGTGTCACTTAATATACATATATGTACATAAACACATCTATACACCTAACTCAGTTCGTATTCGTCCCGTAAATACTTACTGTAGAGTCGACGATGAAACTGCAGTGGTTATAAAGGTAATTGTTCTGTTCAATTGAAAAAGTTATTCATTCCGATTTGTTTTGTGATCATTTGGAATGATTAGATATTCAGAAATTTGACGTGTAAAGGGACGGTGAAATTATGATTACAAATAAGAGGAAAAGATCGCAAACGTGTTATTGGAATAAAAAAAACATTGATAACCGAAAACAACGAATTGTATCTATAAAAATTTGTCTTTGACAACGTTGAGAAAGAAATGTTACAGCAAAGTAACTTTTTCACGCGTAACATTGATATCATATGGAAAACTTTCGTTCGAGAATCTTCCGACGTTCCCACAATATCATCGGAAAACGAACAGCACTGTTTAAATTTTCAAGGAGACGAAGCAAAAGAAGCTTACGAAGAAATTGTAAACGAACGAACCAACGCAAATACACAACATGAACAGAAATATTGCAAGTGTAAAACTTTTATCGCTCGAAATACAACATCGAAGCCAGTTTTATCGAATGAAAAAACAAAAAACAATCAAATTTCTAAGGAAAAAGTGTCAATCAGTGCGATCTTAAAAGCGGTGGAACAGAAAGATTTGAAATTTTTATCGAGACACGTGACTCGAGAAAATGTTAACGTAACAGATGATTTTGGTTGGACCCCCCTTATGTCAGCTGCATATTGTGGCCATTTAGACATTATAGAGTTTTTATTAAATCTTGGTGCCAATAAAAGAGCCAGAGAGAAATCAGGCCTTACTGCAGCACAACTGGCGTTAAAAAGAAACTATTTAAACATAGTTGCTTTGCTTAAGAAAAAATCAGAATTTGCAATTAACAAAACACTACCAGAAACAGACAGAAATGTGTCAAAAACAAATGTCGACGGTACATTTCAGATAAGATCAGAGTTACTAGAACCTTTGACGGATTATGGTGAAACCTTATGCAAAGGTAATGATAATATAGAAGAATGTTCCAACGAGGATACAGGATTTTATTGTAAAATTTGCAAGGTTAATTTTTATCAAACAACTTGGAAGAAGCACGAGACATCTACACTTCATATCTTCAATATGAAACCAAAAATAGCAAGTACGATGTATGGAATATCGAAACAAAATAAGGGTTATCAAATGCTTTTAAATTATGGTTGGGATGAACAAGATGGTCTTGGTCCTTCTGGAAAAGGACTAAAATATCCCATTAAAACCTGTTTAAAATTTGATAGAAAAGGACTAGGTCAGTCGAATGAAAAGGAATACAGGGTGACTCATTTTAAACCTGGAGATATAACAGCAATTAATGATTTTAAAACATCTAAACAAAAATGTTTAAAAAAGAAAGATAGAGAAAAATTACTCAATAGAGAAGTTAGAAAAGAAAGGGCATTACGTATTGCTTTGTCGTAAAATAATGTACAAAAATATTATAAGTTGTCAATATCTGATAATGCTTCTAAGACTGAAAACTATGTAATTTTTGTTTCTTATCTATTTTAAATGTGTGTGTGTATGTGTGTGTATATATATGTAAACTGATTTTTTTTTCCTTATATTTTTCAAACCAAGTAGTACTCTATCTACCAATTGATTGTAAGTTTTGTTACAGATGAAATTTGATCAGCAGCAAGTCCTACAGCATATACAACAGGTAGAAGAAAAAGCAGGAGAGATCCTCACTGATCGACAAGAAATAATTGCTTTGGATAAAAGAAGAAATGACGATAGAGTTGGAATGAGAGCATTACAGAAGGAAAATTGCAAGAAAACTTGGCTAACTGTTGGTCCACTGTTACTTAAAATGCCATCCAAAAGTGCAGAAGAACTACTTATTAAAGGTATTTTCATTTATAAGTTTTATTTTAACGTTTTTATGAAATATACAATAATTAACTTAATGTTATACTGCATTACAGATCAAAGAGAATGTGACATTGAAATTAATAAACTAAGAAGTAATTTAAAAGTTAAAGTGAACGAATTACGAGACTTAGAGCTCAACTCATCTGTTCCAGGGCTAATGTTGCAACCCATGTCTCACAAAGAAATGTCAGCAATAAAACAAGTTTTAGGTGAAAATTCTTAATTTAACTGAATAAGAATATTAAAGAGATGTAACGTAACAACGCTAATAATAATAAAAATAATAATAATAGTCATAGTCATATTCATTGAAATCATTAAAAATTAGCAAAATATTCTTCCACTCCATTGATGTACCATGAACGTAAAAATATGTCTTTTGATCCTGAAAGTTATACTAAGTAATTTTTTCAGCAAACCTCGTGAACAGATGAATTCTGGTTTCAACCTAATTATTCATTATTTTATACGCATTATATTATTTTGCAGCTCCTTTTAAATTTGAATAGAATAATTCTTACCAGCGCGTTGGATTTTCCAAATCTTCTACTTTTAAACGATCCAAATTTTCTAATATCCATTTTAATAGGAAATCAATTTTTGGATCTTCTGCTGACTCGTATACTGTACCTTCGTTAAGATCAAAATACACACGATTACAGTTTCGCGGTTTTTTATAGTACTTTAATTGCGACAAGTCATTTCTGTATCGTTTATTACCGTCGATACTATAACTACCTACGGTTTCTAAATTCGATATATCATGCACAGGTCCTTTGATATTCTTTACAAAAACAGTCATTTTAAATTTCTTCACGACTCAACAAATTGAAACTAAACGTTCCACACGTGTTACCGTCAGATGCGTATATTTCAAGCTCATTCATATAGCTATAACGTTAGTCTTTCAACGTCAGTGATTCCCGCCACTTACTCGTTCACATAGAACCACCTGTAGGTACGCGTTCTGCGTTTGCGTTAGTTCTAGGGATTTGGCAAGATCGGTGGAACTCACTGTACGTTGGTTGGAATGTGGTTTTGATCGTTCGTCGTGCATGCCCGTGAAGGTGGCTTTAGGCCGGTCTGAATGTGGCGCCCCGTAGTGTGAATGTCAAAGCGCGCCAAATTCAAATTGTTCAGCAGTGTAGCTGAAGCAATGAACAAAAGAACTCAAAAGCATGTACATACTATGTACAGTAAATTTCATTGATTACTATTTGCAATCGTTTGTTAAAATCAATGTTTATCGTCGTCGCTATGCACAAAACATTGCTGAGGTGTAAAACACTCTCTCTAAAGGAAATATGTATCGATAAGCAAATGTTGAGAACCAATCAAATTCATCCTCAAATAACTTTATATAAAGTCTTTAATTTAATTGGTGACTATTGTCTAACAAAAGCATGTAAACATTGTATATGAAAATCAACGACACCTGAACTTTCATTCAATTTTCCTCGTTCAAAGAGCTCAGACGTATCATCTCGTAATAAAGTTACAGTTAAAACATTTCGTTTATTATTGTTCCAATCAAGTTATTTATTAATTTATTAAAAGTTTCAACGTTAGATTTTTCTTATGCATTAAATTTCCTAAACTATTGGGAGCAGAGTACGTGGCGCTCCACGGGCGACAATTACCTCAAATTCCCCAAGAACCCACTTAACAACGTAGTACAGTTGGTAAACTGTGTACGAAACAACACAAATAAATATACATGTAGTGTATTTCGAGATTTAACCTTATTTTTCTAGTAAATATTATACGGAAATTTATATGAAATATCAAACAAAAAATGACGTCCCGAGAAATATTAACTATCCAGCTTGGTCATTATTCGAATTTTATTGGTGCTCATTGGTGGAATTTACAGGTACGTGGGGGAACAAAATATACCGACAGAAGATTATGGCAAATGATTAATTTTTATTCCAACACTTTCAGGAAACAAATTTCTCTTACAATACCGATAATCCATCTGAAATAAATCACGATGTTTTGTACAGAGAAGGTGCAAATTTAAAGGTATACAGATATATAGGGGGATTACGACGACGATAGTTGAAAAGGAACAATATAAAGATTGATTATTCGTTGTTAAGAACAGTTTATTATTTTTTTTTTTTTTAGAAGCAAGTTACATATACTCCCAGATTATTACTCGTAGATTTAAAGGGAGCATTTGGATATTTGAAGGAAGAAGGTACTTTATACGACACTTCTGATTGTGAAAAAGCACAACAATTCCTTTGGGACGACAAAAAGGTGGAAGTGAGTAAAGAAGAGACAGTTACTAAAACTGCATTTATTAGAAATTTGGACGAATCTTGTGAAACTTCAGAAGCAACCTGTTTGAATTTGGAAAATGAAGTTAATTCGTGGGTGGATTATTTGGTACCTAAATTTCACCCTAGAACTTTGAATACAATTAGACAGTATAAACTTGATTGTGCTACATGTCCGTTTGATATTTTTACATACGGGAGAAATTTATGGAATACAGAACAATTTTCTGACGACTTTTCCGAAAAGATAAGAGCATATATAGAAGAATGCGATTCACCGCAAGGTTTCCAAGTATGTGATTGTTTGTGCTGGTATAGATAGTTTCCCCTGTATCGTTCTACAATATTGACAGTGTTTTGAAATACAGGTAATTCTTGATTCCGAGGATGGTTTTGCCGGTCTTGGAGCATCTTGTATGCAATACTTGAGAGACGAATACAGAAAAAGTATATTGTCGTTTCCATGTATGGAGAGTAAAAAGACAGAAGCTTCTATGTCCACCATGACTAAAGTACTTAATACAGCTTTGTGCTTTCAAAATATGGAAGAACATGCTTCGTTGTATAGTCCACTCTGTTGCAGCGAAGCTTGGCCACAAGTTGGAGATTCACGTATATTCGACCATCTAACGTACAATTCTGAATTAAAATATCATAGCAGCGCACTTCTGGCAACTGCTTTAGACACGTTAACCATTCGATATAGGCGTAAAGAATATCCAAACGTTGTTTTGTCCGATTTGTGCGCGGATCTTAATAAACTAGGTCGAAAAGCGGCCGCGACAAGTTTAACTTTACCGTTCCCGATGACCGCGAAAGCAGACTTGATCGACGTGCTCGACGATTTCGAGGGAACACTGTGGACAAGTTTGACACCAAATTGTCACATACCGATGGATAAAAATATGCAAAGCATAGTATTACGGGGAATACCGGAAGAAAGATTGAAACGACCTATTGCTCATGCAATGAAACAAATGTCAAAGCCAGCGTATAGATGTTCTACCGTACACGAAATGATGATGCTTTATTTGGCATGTACTTGTCACGCATCGGCAACTTACTTATCAACTATTACCTCACCGTTAAACATCAAACCGCCGTATCCGAAAATTTTCAATAACGTTACGGAAACTGGGGATGTTATTGGTTGGCCTGTTGGAACAGGTGTGTGGTTCTAATCGTACAAGCTACTAATCGTTCAAGCAGATCATACAGAATGTTTCGTTTCAGATGTTAAATCCGTTCCCGTTATGGCTGGTTTGCACAGTGGAAGCAGCCTTGGTGCAACATACGAATCTTTACACGATCAGTTGAACAGAATCAGGAATATAAAGAAATTTCACGCATTCACGGAATCTGGTTTGGAAGAGGACGAATTCAAAGAATGTCTCGATTACTTGCTCGATTGTAAAGAAAATTACGAAGATCAATATATCTAAGTTGCAACATTCCTATCACAATACACGTTATTTTCTATTTACAAAAAGAATATTTCCGTCACTTGAATTCCTTCTTACGACTTCGTTTATCTCGCGTTCTATACGCGCTGTTCCCTATATCTAAGTAGTTCCTAAAATCGAAACTACCGTGTGAAGGTGGGAGCGGCCAGACACACCCTGATTATTAGATCTCGTATCGAAGATTGGGAGTGCGAAAACTCAGTTGTAAGCTCTAACTGGTAAACGAAACACCGGTATAATTTCTATTCGATGCCTTTACGTAGATCAAGAGTGATCGGTGAGTGTTCTCGAATAAAATGGGAAACAAAGTGGCGACGTTTACCGAGGAACAACTGGAAGATTATCAAGATTGCACCTTTTTCACCCGCAAAGAAATTTTAAGGTAGTGAAACGATTTCGTTTTGTCCCTTCGCTTTCTACATCGATCGCCTATTTCTAGAATATTTAAACGGTTCCGGGAAATGGGAGATCCCGGAGTGGTTCCACGATCCATGACGCCTCAACAAGCATCCACGCTTCGTATACCACTATCGTGTTTGACACGCATACCAGAATTAAAGGTTCTTAGGTTAATCATTCCAAGCTAGCTTTCGCGAACAGAAGAGCGTATCTTGTGGAAGACACCAAGTGTCTCATCTATCTACATCGATTTTCTTGCAACGTTTCAGGAAAATCCGTTCAGACAACGCATCTCGGAGGTTTTCACCAGATGCCAGAACCCGGGACAACAGTCGAGGCCCGATGTCTCGAACGAAGGAATCTGCTTCGAGGAGTTCCTCGAGATGATGTCGGTTTTTTCGGAGCAGGCGCCGCGGGACTTGAAGGTCTTTTACGCCTTTAAGATTTACGGTACGGACCACCACGTGAACCAGACAGTCGGACGGATCGTGAGAGAGGTTCGAGGTCGACCTCGATCTCTACCTATATACGTATTACCTCTGTACTATCGGATCACAAGTCTACATATCGGCATTCGTGTGACTAATTTCCACTTTATTTTCTCTCCTTCTCCGTTTTCCTAAACAGACTTCGACGAGGATGGAGTATTGGGATCGAGCGATTTGGAACGCACTTGCCGACAATTGGTCGAAGGTGGTCTGAACGGCGACGAGGTGGCCACCGTGTGCAGAAAAGTTCTAGAGGAGAGCGACATCGACGGCGACGGTGTTCTATCCTATCTGGAGTTCGAGCACGTCGTAACCCGGGCCTCGGACTTCATGGCAACGTTTCACATAAGAATTTAACTTTATATCTAGTTATCGAAAATCAATAAAATCTACTGCCAAAAATTCTACACGTTTCTGTTTATTCTTCTGGCGTCACGCGTGTCCCATCCTGCGACTACGAATTTCGTTGGAAAGGATCGGCGTTCGAGCGCCACCTAAAGACGCCGCGTCGTTCGCCGCCACGCATCCCAAAGAATAGTCCCTGGCGCGGTACGACAAGCAAATTTTTGCAAACTCACCCGAGATAATTATCAGCCCTGCGAATCTGTATTGCGCTTAGTGAGGCGCTACCTGTGTACACTTTCTTGCGAGTCACAGACAGAATACGTACACTTTCTTATACGGCCTCATAAGTTGCCCCTGTTGAGCAATAACGAGCAATGCTGGCTAAATAACCAGGCCATTGATTTTCGCTCACAAGGCAGGAACACCTTGGATAAACTTTTCCTTCCTATACGTGTACCTTTCGTTTCGTACAACACGTGTAAAAATGAATTTCACAGCGTTCTATTCTCTCCGGCAATTGGCGAAGAACGGAAGGAAGGATTTTCGCGTATGTTACACCTAGAAGCATGATCGGTCGAAAGAGGAGGGGAGAAGAATCGAAGATGTTTTTCGGAGGTAGATTCGCAGCCGTGTGCGATGGGTAAGCGCGGTCCCGTGGTCCGGTCGTCTTAAAAAGCGGTCGAAATCGGAGATACCGCCCTGTGTGTTACGGAGCTCTCGACCAGTTATAGTCGGCCGCGCGGTAACTAACCGAGTCTTGGGACCAAGGCCATCCGGTCACTTCTCATCCTTCTCTCTTCCCCGCTCGCATCCTTGCCGTTCTTCTTGCTGGCCCGTCCGCAGGCCCTCGGGGTCCGAGAGGGCCCCCTTGCCTCCTGGGTCCACCGTCGACACCCTCTGCCGCGCGCGCGAGAGAGACAGAGAAGGAGAGACCCCACCCAACTCCTTCCCTCGCCACCTCGATACACAACTCGACACTCCTGCGCTCTCTTCCCCTTTACAGAGATCTCTCAGACCCGACCTCAGCCACCACCTCGACATGCCAACGTATCCAAGGTATATATACATTCTTGGGCCTCGTCGACGCAACTCGACGCGACTCGACGCGACTCGACGCGACGCCGCCGCCGCCGATCCCCTCTCGTCACGACGAGGTTTCGTCCGAAGGGATCGTGGCGTTGGAGCGCAGAGCGTAGCCGGCCAGGCAGGTAGGCAGGCAGGGGGAGGAAGGGATGGTGGGAAGTGAGGAATGGGAAGGGAAAGATCGCGGGTGGCGCGAACGCAGCAGAAGAAGAGGAGGAAGAAGACGAAAGAGAAGTTAAGAGGAGTCAGGGAAGAAGGAGGGGGTTGCTGGTGGATGATAGCGGGGCTGAGGCGGTTGGCGGAGGGCAGATTTGAACCTAACTTTTACAGCACCCTACGTGGGCGAGTTCTCTCGCGGGAGATCTCGAGAACCTTCCACTCGGGACCTCGACCCCACGATCGCGCGCCACGACATCCTTCCCTCCGGATACACCGGCATACGTATTTAGGTATATAAGTAGTACTGTACATATAAGTAGTACGGTTCCGGGATTTCCAGTTCAACTTCTATTTTACGTACACGATACAGCAGGTATATGTAATCGTTCGATGAAATATCGCGTTCGACCAACGAAGAAGAATATCACGCCGGCCATTTTACCTGCAACCGTAAGTCGTTGGCGTAAAACGATTAAGATGAGAAAGAAGAGAGAAGAGAAGAGGAAAAAAGAAAGAAAGAAGGAGTCGTTTAGAACACACGTCAGGATGTTGAACCGACAAAAACCGGATGCGATCTTCCATCCTGTTCCTTCTAGAGAACTTGTGTCAGTTGTAAGAGAGGTAATATTCAAATCCGTGGAGTTAGCATCGAGTAGGTACCGTTCGATACGAATCGAAAGACGTAGGGAGACAAGTGGGAGGAAAGGTGGCGGTGTGAGGACCTCGCGTTGCTCGTGTTTTCCGCAAAATTACAAGCTCGACGCGGCTCGAGCAAGTACGCGGCTCTGTGTTAAACTCGACCTTTCAGCTACCTCTTTCTCTCTCTCTCTCTCTCTCTCTCTCTCTCCCATAAACCAGAGAGTAACGTTTTACTCTGCGTGAAAGCAGATACCTATGCGTTGCTCTCTGACAAGGTTGCGTCCAGCCGACCGCTGTCTAGTCGAAATAATATTGGCGGTCTTGTGGGCACATATCGTAGTGGTTCATAAGGAGGCGAGAGCTTGTATATAGAGAACCGTCTACCAAAGAGGGGGAGGAAGGGTTTCAAGGAGCCGGTTAGCCAACGGAATGTGGCTTGACCGGCCAACCATCCCCCGCCTCCTCTACCATGGATTCATCGAGAATAAGAGAGAAAGAAGGACAGTGAGATAGGTGGACTGGCCCAACTACCTTTGGATCCTAATGGGCCCCATTGGGGTGCTCGAATATTCTTTCGCTATCTTCGGACATCTTCGCTCGTGAGATTTGTAATCGAGGAGAGCGCCGTTTTTTGACGTTCCCCCCGTAAAGTAACCTGCTCTGCTCCCTGATTTTCGATGTCCACTTTTCTCTTCTCTTCGCTTCTCTTCTCCTCTGTTGAGGAGAGGCGAACGAGACGAGTCGCGGCGTGGCGCGGCGTGGCGCGGCGTGGCGCGCAGACCGACACACCACCGTTCCTTCCTTTCAAAATCGTTTTATTCCTCTTTACAGTCCCGAGAAACGGACCCCGTTCGTCTATCTACGCGAAACGAATGCAATTTATGCGTTCGAACGTGCGATTAGGCAGCCAGGCAGACAGGAGCCACGTATATTATTGCTAGTCTATCTTGATCTGTCGCAATCGTCCAAGGCAATTGCAACTTTGCCGCCACGATTATCCACTCTTTATGGACAACAAACTGAGAAAAATACTCGCCGACAATGCTGATCTGTTCGAGAAGACGCGTAACCGATGCATACGTATAACGCGTCTACGTTCCGCATTAACCATTCAGCGTTCCCTCTGCGAAACCTTTGCCAGGAATCGTGCGTACGTACTCTCCGGGGAAAGTTTCGCAAGTTACTCGCAATTACGTACTTCCAACGTACGCGGACGTTACCCTCCTTCTTTCTATCCTAAATTCTAGCACACGCACGGCGATCCTCGATCCCGCGGATCCGACGTTACATTTTATTTCAAGCTCGAAACCGGCCAACCGGTACAGGCCACTCTGAATAAAACTGAACGACGCTACTCAAAGAAGTTTCGCAACTGGTTGTGCCCGGTAGATCAGCTTTCCGCTCAAGTACCACCTAAATTTATTCCACGAACGTTTCGTGCATTCGAAAGCCTTCGCATCGTCCGTGGAATATTATGCGATTTCCACGTTTTTGGCAAATAAACGCGTACCTTCCACCGACGCGAAATCAGCCGCGGGTAACCAGAAGATAAGCGAGAGGAGAAAGAAGGAAAGAAAAACGCGAATGTGTCGCGAATCAAAGACACATCGCTGCACGCTATTCCCTTCGGTGCATTTTCGGCAAAACGGTGCACCCTTTCTCTCCGCCTTTTTGCAAAGCTGTAATCCTCGAGAACAACACCACGCCTCGCCTCGTAAGCAACCGTGACAAGCGTAGACAGCCGCGCCAATTATTTGCACAATAACTCACGTTCTTGGTATCAACAAACAAACTCCCATACACGCGAGCTCTTACATTTATCCTTTTACACTCGGCTTTTTTCCTCCTTCCTCACGCTCGCACACACCTCTTTTTCTCTTTTCCAAAACACTTTTTACCCCGTTTTCCCCGCTTAATTTGCCTCGAACACCAAGTATACTTCTACCGGCAGATATTGTTACCGATGTAAATGCTCGGCCAAGTCTTTCGCCTCGCGAGAGAAGTTACGAAACAGGGAACTGGTTAACGTTGTCTCTGCTTGTCGTGATAATCCAGCCTGACTTTTGCGCCGGTCAAATCGAAAGCAATGAATTATCCGCAGCTACTTAAGGCAACGGATCTATTGCGCGCCGAATAATTGCGGTCGCCGTGACATTATGGCGGTAATACCGTCGCAGAATCTAGTACCACGTCCGTTACCGGAGACAATGATCGATGCTCGCGATCGTTCACGAAAACCTCGTCTCGTTAACGTTCCCCGTCTTCAGGAAAGGTCTCTCTCTCTCCGCTGCAATTTCACCTTCCATCGTCGCCGATCCGTCGATTCGCCATTTTTCTCCAACTGTTCTCCCTTCGAGAAACGTATTCTGAATTTAGGAAGGTCGACGCAACAGTTGCAAGAAGGCTTGTGCACGATCACGTGGATAACGTAAGCGCAGAGGCAAATAGAAGAAGAACCTGGCAGTGTTTTTTAATTGTTCCGTCCAATTACGAGTTCCCCTTCGGGGAGTATATCTGAAAAGTATTGGGAGTGCAAGAAGAATGGGACAGTCGTGTCGATTTAACGAGGCATCGCGAACAGTCTCAGGTGACGGTAGATGCCGGCGCGACGCGACGCGGCGATTTAATCGCGGCTCTTTCAACTGCGAAACTCGGACCGAGCTATTGTGGTCTTTCCAGAAAAGGATCTGTCGCATCTGCGAAGATAGCTGCTGACCTGTTTCCTACCCTTTCTTCCCCTTCATTTTACTCGATGCAGGTGAATTGGTTTGAAAGGTCGATTAGAAAATAAAGGAAACTCGATTAACGAACGAGCAGCAATTCGTTGAAATCACGCGCAACCCTGAACGGACCTATCGATCTTCGGGATTCTTTGCTTTCAACGGCGAAGGCAGCTTTACCTGCTATCAGGCGAAATACCTGTTCGAGGGGAAAAATCCGTCTGTAAATAGCTCCGAGAAAGCCGTGCAATCTTCGTTCATCGAGTATAGTACCTTAACCGTTCTAACGGCCGGCGAAGAGGTTGAACCGGAGCGAGGCACGAAGGGCGAGGAGAAAAATCGAGAAAGGGAGACGAACGAGCGTAGGTATATCCGGATGATGGTGCGTAAAGGCAATGCAACGTTGCTTGC